CAGGTTAACAGCATACCTTACTAATGACCTGGAGTGCATTATAGGAGGTTTTTACCTGGTTTAGATTCTCTCAGCTATGGCATCCCATGGAGATAGAGCAGCCACACAAAAGAACACAAGATTTATGCATATGGACTTGGCAGTCAGGCTGGCCATAGACATGAAATGTTACTCGGTATGTCTGCAAAAAATGATAAAAAATTTTTTTTTTTATATAGATATAATTTAAGCATTTCTCAGCAATACACACACATTTTTCCTGTGTTTTATTATTTTAAAAATGCTGAAAGTAAAGAAAAAGTATCTGACTTGCCAGAAATATGTTAAAACTGAATACATTTTTTTTTTTTTTTTTGCATTGAGGCCCCAGGATCTTTTAGCCATACAGTGCTAATTTGCCCAGCAAATTACAGCAGGCATACCTGGCTAGTAATCCCCTCCCACAGTAGTCTCAGCGCTCTCATTGTTCACAGGTGCTGGCATCTTCCCAGTTTCCTTCTGGGTTCCACTGCTTGGTTGGCCACACCATGATGACGTCACACCCATGGGTTCACATAAGAGTTTTGTCGTCACGGCTCTGAGCAGTTCCATAAATGGCCTTTGAGTTGTGCAGTGTACACACTGACAAGTAGGAACAAGTGTTAATAACCGAAGATAGGGTCTCTTCATAAAAATTCCAACCTGTCAGCTTTTTCTTTTTAAATTCTTAACTTCCTGTAGTTAGCTGACAACCCTGCATCTGCTGCATTGAAATCATAAGCAGTGTTGTCAGCCCTGCATGCTGGATTGCAGGCCCTTTCCTCTTATGTTACAGAGAGGATCTGGTATTTTCTGTACCTGTTGTGTTTAACGAAATAAACACCGGGAATGGGCATAAATTGTAGAGATGTTTTACATTCTTTTGTGGGTTTTTTTTTTTTTTTTTTTTTTTTTTTTTTTTTAAGTGTGGACATACTGTAACAGGAATGTGGAAGATGTATTTCAGTTTTAACAGTGCTGGAGCTTGGAGAAATCAGCTGACAATCTGATGGAAGGCTTATTTGGGTCTTTTCCTGGAATTGTGCTGGTGACATTGTACATGCATAGAATAACCTATAGGAGGGGGACCTTGGCATCTTGGGGTTAAGCCATTTATTGACATTAGCACATTTAATACATCGGCTTCCACCCACTTGCTCCAGACTTCAGTATCCCTGTGCCGCTATTGATTCTTCTTCATGAAGTCTTAATGGCTTATCTATCAGTGGCACATTGCGTGCAATCCCCTCGTCATACTACAGATAAGGCCCAGACTAGTGAGACATAGCACCGGGCCTAGTATTCCACATGGGTCCTCATCCCTCCAGATAATTACCGGCCCGTCTACACCCTATTCTACACTACAGCCAAAAATGATCATAGCTGCTGCAGTTACAGAAAATCTGCGCACTTCTCTCCATGATGAACCAACAATAGATTCCACATGTCATTGATTTTATTTACATGTGCTACCTAGAAATTGACCGTACATTTATATATTTATAACTCCTTTTATGATTTTGCGTCTGCAATGTTGTGTTGTGGGTTCAACTAAAAATGAAGGATAAGGGGGCTTCAGATTTTTTTTATTTTTTTATCTTTTGTTTTTTTTTTAACACTTTTCTTTTGAGGCTGCTGTAGGAATCTTCTGGATATTAGCCAAGGTCATTTCCAGCCGACAATTTTTGTTTTGTACATCAAAAGCAACTGTTGCCACAAAATAAGTTAGGGAAAGCTCCCTGAAGATGAACAGTACTTCTCTGGAGGGCACGGATTCTTGTCTTCACCCTCTTTAAGAGCTATGACAGCAGAATTGAACTAGAGGTGGCAGAAATCCCAGCATGCAGCAGGGACCAGGCATCCGACACAACCAGATGTGTTAAATGGCTCTTCTGCCACTTTAGCTCTTTAAGAGTGCAAACATGGGAATCTCTACTCACCAGAGGTACCTTCTTTTGCAGAGAACTTTTTTGGACCTCTCTTTGAAAGAGGTTTGGCATTTGTTTTTCTAATTATACTTACCTAGTTGGATGCAGCATCGATTCCCCCACTGGCTCTAAAGCGAAGAACTGAGTGATCAGACACCGCCGATTGCTCAGTTCCTCGTGCCACTCTGAGCAGAGAGCGGTGACTGTCAGTGGAGCGCTGGGCTGTGGATGGGGCAAGAGCAGTTGGCGAACGCTTCAGCAGGTCGCTGAGATTCTGAGCCAGGTGCCGGTCCAGACTCCTATTTGGATCCCGACCATATGGTTACAATCTTTCCCCAGCCCCTGGACTGGCTGAGTTCAGCCAACAGCGGTCTAAAGTCCGCTGACATCAAACGGGTCACAGAAGTGTAGAATGAACTGCACTCCTGTGATCCACAGGAGAGGTACAGCCAAATGAGCTTTGGCTGTACTTATTTAAAGCTGATCTTTAGGCACATAAACTTGGATATATTCAGTAGCCGTAAAGTGTGTAAATCCACTTTGTGAGCTGCCCACTTCATTGCAAGCTCAGTTATTATCTTGTAAAAGTAGCAGCAATTTCATCACTATGCTATACATAATCTTTGCAGAGCTGTGGGAGGGGCCTCTCTCTCCTTTCATCAGCCAGTCTGACACACATGGGGAGATGCTGAACTTTTCATGGGTCTAATTTTTCCTCCATCTGCTCCACAGCACCACCTATTCGGAGGGCTCTTTGATTATCCTCCTGTTGAGCTTGTGATCATTTCAATAGCAGGCCCTGATATGTAGAGAATCTGAGGAAAGGTCTGACGTGTCTGAGAAAATACGTGACCTGGTTTGAGCTCGCTCTGGTCGTTGCTGCTCTCAGAACTGCTTTAAAAATAGAGAATCACAGCAACTTGTACATATTCGCATATTTGGCTGCACCTTACCCTGACCAAACGCAGTGCCCAGGGCACAAATGTAAGCAAATTCCCCTGCTTTGCCTGTTAAAGCTGACCTCCGGGTACTAACACTTTGATACAAATATCTTCAATGTCCGCAAAGGGTATGAATTCACTTTGTGTGCACCAAATGTGTTTGTAAACCCAGTTATTACCTTACAAAGGTAGCATTGATTTCATCACTGTGCTGTACAAAGCCTGTGCAGAGAGCAGGGCTGTGGTGGGGACCTAGCAGGCTCCACCCATTACAGGCTGATTGTAGAAACGGGAGGAGGCGGAGACAAGACCAGTCATTCTACGCAAGGAGAGAGAGCAGCAATGACCGGTCTTTATTACAAGAAGCTCCGTCGGTTAACCACTTCCAGACCGGACACTTTTACCCCCTTCCTGACCGGGGCAATTTTCAGCTTTCAGCGCTATCACACTTTGAATGACAATTGCGCGGTCATGCAACACTGTACCCAAATGAATTTTTTACCATTTTTTTTGACACAGATAAAGCTTTATTTTGGTGGTATTTATTTACTGCAGGGGATTTTATTTTTTTTGCTATGTAAATAAAGTCCAAAAATTTAGAAAAAAAGTTTTTTTTTTTTAAATTTTGCAAATAATATTTCATCATAAATCTTTGCCAAAATGTATTCCGTTATCTTTTTAGTAAAAAAAAAAATCCAAATTAGTTTATAACCAAAAATTATAATTTTTAAACATTTTTTTTTTTTACATTTTTATTTTATTTTTTTTATATTTTTTATTTTTTACATACTGTCACCCTAGCAGTACAGTGTCACCATGGTGACACTGTACTACTTGTGCGGGGTGATGAAGATTTTTTTTTTTTTTTACGGATTGCTTTTACACCCATATAGGATGTAAAAGCAATCATTTCTCTTTCTCTCTGTCTGCATTCATTGAGAAGTACCGAGTGAGCTGTGATTGGTCACAGCTTGTCACATGGTACAAGCCTGTTGTGAATAGCCTTGTACCATGTGACCTCTGTGATCATTCACAGATTTCACACATAGCAAGCAATGATGTCAGAAGTGACATCTTGCTTACTACTTTGCATGTGATCACTGATTGGCCAATCAGTGATCACATGATCGGGACTTCATACAGAGGTCCCGTCTGACGATCAGTTTTTCACTGTGTCTGGAGGACACAGCGGGCACCGGATCGCGGTGCTGCGCGCTCCCAGGGAGCGCGCACAAGCAGGGTGCGGGGAGGCCGTTTATAGACGGCCACCCGACCCTGCACTGCCACCGTCCGGCCGTTTTATATGCAACGGCCGGTTGGGAAGTGGTTAAAAAGTGCAGAGGGTTTTTTTTTTTTTTTTTGTATTTTCTGGATTTCTGCACAGATCTGGAAGAAATACACAGATTCAAATAAGAATGTGCATGCCTTTTGTATTTAGTCAGTATTTGCTTATCCCAGAGTTCAGCTGTGTATGTGCACATCATGTCTGGCAAATAATGAATTTAAAAAAGAAAGTCTAGAGGACATTTTTAGAAGAGATTCACAAAAATTGCCAAGGTAAATATTGGTTGCCTATATCAGGGGTGGGCAACTGTGGCCCTCCAGCTGTTGTAGAACTACAAGTCCCATGAGGCACTGCAAAACTGACAATTACAAGCATGACTCCCAAAGGCAGAGGCATGATGGGACTTGTACTTCACCAACAGCTGGAGGGCCATAGTTGCCCACCCCTGGCCTATATCGTATTCTTGTGTGCCAGCTGTCATTTTTTTCGTGCACTGGAAACATGGGGGTTTATTTACTAAAGCTGGAGAGTCCAAAATCAGACTCCCTTCTGCATAGAAACCAATCGGCTTCTAACCTCAGCTTGTTCAATGAAGCTTTGGCAATGAAACCTGGAAGCTGATTGGTTTCTATGCAGAAGGGAGTCTGATTTTGGACTCTCCAGCTTTTGTAAATAAACCCCATGATGTCTGGAACATGGCTGCTGTTGGCTGCTCACGCACTTTTCTTTTCTCTGGTTCCAGGCCTGCAGGATGTAACACCTAGTGTAGGTGATATTTTTAGCTGTGATGTAGAACCTTTTGCTGACTTTTGTCTTGTTGACTTTTAGCGTGTCTTTAACGTGCTGTACCCGATGCCAGCTGACCAAAGGCGACACGTCAGCATCAACTCAGCTCGGTGGCTGCCTGAGCCTGGACTGGGATTAGCATATGGTACCAATAAGGGAGACCTGGTGATCTGCCGACCAGAGTAAGTATAAGATGATCTCTTTTCTGACTAAACCCAACTATACACGATTGACTTCTTTCCAAAAGTGATGGACGGTGAAAGTGAAAAATCCTATTTTTCAGTTTGTAAGAGAAGCTCATACAGACTCATATATTGCTGGACTTGTTTAGAGATTCAGAAATCGTCTTCTCAATGTTGATGATACATAATGTAAGAATTTATAGCACGTTTCGCTGCAGAATCCTACTTCCTGCTGTTTAAAGGAAATTCACATATTACACACCTTCCTTCCTGTACGTTGTGTGTCTGTCGTAGTCACATGATTAGTTCCGGTGTTTCAGTATGGAAAAATCAGTAAGATAATCACATGAGCAGGAAATTACATTTCTGGGGAGATTCTTTATGAAGTATACAATACCTCTCCAATTACCATGTTTACAAGGGCACCAGTTAAAGCAGAACTAAACTTGTCCTTTTTACATTTTTCCTAAAACATTTCAATTCAAGACATGCCATGATTGATAACTGTCATATTTGCCCTCAACCGAATTGTCAAGCCATCAGATGGCTAGAGTCATGACTGATCACATGTGCAGCATCATTGCAACTGCAAATCAGAGGCTAAGATGGCAGCTTCCTTGGCTGTAAAACATAGGATGGTCCAGTTCGACTCTGCATATTTGGTGAGTATAGAAATTAATAGCTGGATTCAGATAAAGACAAAAAGGTGATTTTAAAGTGTTTAAAATGGAATTATACCCACCATTTTAATGGTTTCTCAAATCAGTTACATTTAGGGCATTCCTTGATGGATAATTTGTTACAATTACTAGTGTGCTTATGTTGGCTCTCAACCAAAATGTCAAGCCATCAACTGGCTGGTGTCCTAGCTGATCACATGTGCAGTTTCCTTGACTGCCAAGGATACGTGAGTTTAGTTCTGCTTCAGAGGATAAGTTCAACGTTTTGAAAAAAATAATAAATGCAAATAATTTTGCAAGAAAAAAAATGTGCATTTAAAAACTTTCACAGGATCCTGCAGAGCATTGCACCCGTGATCAGTGGATCTTGGGTGCAATGTCAGGCTCCTGCACAGTAGGAAGTGTCAATGGACTACGAGGGCGCTCATCACGGACCTCGCAGTCCATTGAAAACTACATGTTGTCTGCCACGGTGGAAGATTGGACTTGTAATTTATTCTTTTACAGAATGCTGTGAATGAATGACACAGCTGTGCAAGGCAGAGCCCCACACAGCTGTGTCAATTTTAAAATGTAACAGCAGCTGTGGGGGAGAGGATCTCTTGCTAGTTATCACAGCGGGAGCAGTTAGGGGGAGAGGGAGACGAGCTGGAATATGTTACTTCTCCCTAAATACGGGTGTAACATGTTCTGAAGAGCGAGCTTAGCCTGTAAACAATTATTTAACAAAATATGTTACTGCATACCAACATACATGCACTCTTGTGTATATTCTAGCAATCTCTTTTGCACAGCATGCCTTCAAAGCAAAATCTTTTAGCACAAGGTATGGTCAAGTTTTTTTTCCGCCTGTCGGGTGGCTCCTCTGCCTTGCAAAGTCCCCCTGGAACCACTGTGATCTGTGCAGTGCCGGCTGGGACTACTGAAAGTTCTAAGAGAGGCCACAAGGAGGGAATGAGCAAAGAGAAATATGAAAAAGGAAAAGAAAACAACTTGACAATAAATGCTGCTAGAAATCTTACAATAAAAAATGATTATGTGGAGATAAAGGAAAAATCTTTTACGGTGAGGGTTTAAAGTGTTACTAAACACAGGACCCTACATTCACTATATCTGGTCTCCCACAGTACACAGAACATGGAAATGCAAGTATTTTAGTAACTATAAACTTCTAAATACCTTTTCTCATCAGCAGTATATAGCAGTCTTGTGACTTCTATCAGTGTCCAGCTGAACACTGATTAATCTTGTAGGAGGTGTTTTAATTCTGCTGTGACTGTCCTATGAGACTGCATAACCCCTGACCCTCTGTCTGGGCAGTGCTTGACTGGGCCTGTGTCGATCACATGCACACGCTCAAAGGTAAAAAAAAAAAAAAACATTTCTTTAGCAATACACACTAAACTGAGCATGCACAGGGTGACACTTAGAACTCTGTACAATCAGCAGATGGATTGGGAACAGTAAAAGGGGATGATCAGGAGAGACAGGATCAAACAGCCTTTTTACCCAATGTGGAGGTTTAACCCTTTAGGTTCCACAGAGTATAACCGGCATGCTTTACAGCATCTACAGACTGATTTTTACTTTAGTAGGTTTAGTGACATTTTAATACCACTTTACTAACTAAAGATAAAATACCAATTATTCATGTTAACACTTTAAAAAAACGTGATCAACGTGATCACCCCCTTTAACCTCCCTGGCGGTATGATTATTTCAGATTTTTGGTGCTGAAAGCGGTACCATTTTTTTGCATGGAAATATGTATTTTTTTTATTGTAGGCTGTAATTTTTAGGAAAAACTCACTGAAATCTGTCCGAACAAGAGTCTAGTAAACATCCCGGGTATGATAAAATTTGAAAAACAAAATCATAAATTATAATTTAATAAATAATCATAAAAATAATATAAAAATAATAAAAAATTTAATTCAATAATATAATCAAACCAAAAACACTGAAATGTGAAATAGAGCGCCAAGTTCGCACATTGCTGAGCTCAGTCGCAAAATCGTTTTCAGTGTCTGATGACGAATTTCCCCCACGAATCATTATCACTCAATTCTGCAAGTGGTTCTGATTTACTATCGCTGTTCTCTAGCTGATCTAAACCGCTTTTGACCTAAAGGGACGCTTTTTGGACGCCATGGACATTTCTCAGTTTCCAGGCAGAAAGAACAGACAAAATGCAGGCAGGGCACAGAACAAAGCACTAGGGACAATATGTATGTGAAATTGGTTGAGACGGCAATGTTTTACTATGTAAAATGTAAAAAAAAAAAAAATGACATTTTTTAAAATTTTTAAATTTCCCGCCGGCGGCGGCGCCCGTACGTCCCGACGTCACAGGGACAGGACACAGAAGCCGGATGCCGGCATCGGCCGGAGGAGATGGCCGGGGACGCTGCAGGGGACACATCGTGGGAGCGCAGGGTAAGGTAAGTGAAGAACACATGCCGGAGCAGTGCCGCATGGTATTCCCGAGTGTAGCTCGGGGTTACCGCTTTTGGTACTGAAATGTTACCCCGAGCTACACTCGGGAATACCGCCAGGGAGGTTAAAGAGTCCATGTTCTCACACTCGATTTTCCAACTTTTGCTCAAAAAGTAACAAAGGCCCCTTTCAGACTAAGTGGATCTATCAGCAGAGAGATCCCCCCTGCTGAGCAGATGGATGACAGGTCTCTGTCTGCTCTGCTGCTGCAGAGTGGATACAGACACTGCCCGCTGATTTCAGTGGGACGGTCGGATGGAAACGGACCCGCCTGTCCACCGATCCACTGGGTGGAAGGGGAATGGATCCCCACCCGTCTGTCTTTTGGCTTACATGATCAGATCGGATGGCGGCAGGTATCGGCGGACTATTGTCTGCTGACACCCACTGGTCCATAGAAGTCTATGGATGGACTGATCAGGTCCGCCTGAAAAACGGACAGGCGGACCCCATCAGTCCTCCCATGTGAAAGGGGCCTAAGAGGGACGAACTGGGAAGTCTGTTGTAAGAATATGACAAATACATTTTTAAGGCCCCTTTCACACAGACTTTCCGTATGCCTGTTTTTATCTATTTACGGATGAAAAACGGACCCCCGTGTATTTCTGTGGGCTTGCGGATGATTATCTTTTTACATCCGTTAATGTCCGCATCTGTTAACATCTGTTTTTTTTTAATGCAAGAAAACCCTACTTTTTCTTGCACAAAAAAACTCAGAACGGCCGCGGAAAGGGATGTCGGCGGCCGCGGAAAGGGATGTCGGCGGCCGCGGAAAGGGATGTCGGCGGCCGCGGAAAGGGATGTCGGCGGCCGCGGAAAGGGATGTCGGCGGCCGCGGAAAGGGATGTCGGCGGCCGCGGAAAGGGATGTCGGCGGCCGCGGAAAGGGATGTCGGCGGCCGCGGAAAGGGATGTCGGCGGCCGCGGAAAGGGATGTCGGCGGCCGCGGAAAGGGATGTCGGCGGCCGCGGAAAGGGATGTCGGCGGCCGCGGAAAGGGATGTCGGCGGCCGCGGAAAGGGATGTCGGCGGCCGCGGAAAGGGATGTCGGCGGGCGCGGAAAGGGATGTCGGCGGGCGCGGAAAGGGATGTCGGCGGCCGCGGAAAGGGATGTCGGCCAATGTAATACTGGATGTAAACTCATCTGTTTTTTTTTTTTTTTTGAAAAAAATGTGACTGAACTGAAGAAAAAAAAAACAGAAAGCCCGTGTGAAAGGACCCTTAGTCTGGCCATACATTATAAAATTTTCTTGAGATTTTTGCTTTAGATTTTCCAAAAACCATATAATAGGAGGTCAAACCTAAACACTTTCAGTTGTATCCAATTAGGTAGGCCCTTGCACTACACAGTTGAAGGTAAATCTAAAAGAAATTGAACAGAAAATTGTAGTGTATGGCCAGCCTTAGGGTAGAAGTTCTAAAAACAAAAAGAATTGTCTGGACAGTGTCTGTTAAACAGCTGCACGATCTGATGCTTGAATTGTTGGCCAATATCCGTTTAATCTGGTCACCCTAAAAGTGAATCAAGCACAGCTGGGCTTTTGCAATAATCTGGGTAATCGGTCTTAAATGATTGTGCAGGTTTGCTGATCAATATTTTATATTTGCCCAATACTAAGGTTCACGGAAATTGACTCTGAATATGAGATGATAGCAATTGAAGAGATGAATCTTTTTTCTCTACTAAATGTTTGTCTCTGACATTCAATAGACAGCGGTTATAAAAGTGTCATAAACTGAAGAAAATGCTCCTAGCTCAGAAACTGGCTGCTTTTCATCTTGCGTTTCTCTTGCTGCTCCATAGTGGATTATAAGGGAAATCTGCC